AAAAAAAAAAAAAAAAGAAGAAGAAGAAAATTACGAAAAGGTAGATTTATACACGTGACTGACCACTCTTCAATTTTATTTCACTGGTCATTTCTTTACAATTTTTTTTTTTTTTTTTTTTTTTTCTGCTTATTCTTTCCCCTGCGTGTATCCACCCATTGTACGGATAGTTCTCCCCCCCCCTATTTGCACCTTTCGTTTTTCCCGAAACAATATGTCTGAACTGTTAACGTTTTGCCCCAATTTGTTGAAAAAAAAATGTGGCACACAAAAAATGGAATGAGCGCCTAACACTTTCGATCATTTTGCCACAAGTAGAAGGAGATCCTAAGTGGTTGGTGTGAAAACCAAAAGAGCAGGAAGAAACACGACCGTTCACACATTTTCATTCTTTCCTTGTTGTCATGACGACGCAGTGGAAACAGTTCATCATGCGCTATGTATGTACAGGTTTGAACAACGCGGCATCCTTTTGTGAAAGCGCAAAAGGGGAACGAACGAAAAAACAACAAAACGCAAAACAGCGCAAAAAAAGGGGGAAATGCTTATACCTAAAGAGGTTCATCCAGTTAACCGAAAGGCACAAGCTTGTAATTGTCGAAAAGAATATGTTTTGATTTTTTTTTTTTTTGTTTTTTTTTTTTTTCAAAAAATGTGAATGCGGACGGGACATGTGTCATCACGTCACTTACTGGATTGAGAAACCCGTTATGCCTTCGAGCACTCGTGCAAATGAACCATTTTTAGAACATGCTATTTATCTTTCCCTCCATATGTTGAAGTGTCAAAAGGGACAAACTCGATTCACTCCCTTTCAAGGACTTCAGCATTTTAGTTCTATCACATGGTCGTTAATAAATGTTCTTTTTGTTTCCTCCATTTTTTTCTGACCACCCCAATGCTCACACTGTTCAACCTTGGCTTTGCTTCCACAAGAGGAACCATGTTATAGAGGCACGAAAAATATTTAGCAGTGTGAAGTGTAATTGGAGAAGATCATCCGCACGCGCCGTGTGTTCATAGACCATCTGGCTAAATGTGCAAAACGGCAAATTTCTGGTTGGTGCATCAGGCAATCCTCAAACCGCAACACAGCAACAGTGGAAACAATCCCACGCGCGGGGAGGGCAACAAAAGGAGATACCTATTCCTCATTTTTTTCCAAAATTGGGGGTGAAAGCGAAATGGATCCACCAGCGGCAGGTGAGCTCCCCCCAATAGAGGACACCACCACATGAACGCATAAGGTTGTACATGTTCCCCCCCTAGTGTGTATGCATCAAAATGCTGAAATGTGCTGGGTATCTATTTGGCCCATTCAATAAGAAGCCCAAATGTGGTCCACATTACAGTGCGCGGAATTTCTCCATTTTAGAAAGATACATAAGGGCGAAGCCGCTGTCGCACGAGTTGAAAATTAAGGAGGCGAAAAATGAAGGGATCAAAGGTGCAGGGGCCACCAATGGAGAGGCCGGAAAGGCCAATGAAAAAGGCGCAAGCACATATTACCCCCCAAATATAACCAGAGGAGTTATACCCAAAAGTGCCTACATGAATACGTGGAAGATACCACAACAGCCGGCAAATCCGAAATATTTAAAAGTGGCACTAATTGGGGCCCCCAATGCGGGGAAAAGCTCTCTGCTAAATTCCATTTTGAATAAAACGATTTCAGCAGTTTCGCCAAAAATTAATACTACCAGACAGGACATAACAGGAATATATACAAAAGACAACGTTCAGCTAATTTTTATCGATTCGCCTGGTATTGTCCCTTCACATAAGAAGAAAAAGTTTTGTAAAGAATTAGTGAGTTATGCATGGAAGGGATATGAGGAAGCAGACTTGGTTTTATTTATCGCGGACACGGTGAAGAGGCCAACGCATGACGTGTTCAACATAATACGAATGCTAGCACCCAAAAAGGTAGAGGCATACAATAGTGAGAGCGAAGACGAGGGGGAAACGCATCACTACAACTTTAACCATCCCAGTGAAGAGAATGATCGTGAGGAACATTTCGAATGGAAGGGAGAACCGCAAAGCGATTCGAATAGCGGCTCCACCAACGAAGAGCTTTACGAAAATGCCCAAAAAAATGTGCAAAAATTCGTAGAATACTTCTCCACCGCTATGGAAAAAGAGGCCAAGTATAGGGACAAAAGTGTCAAGGAAAACTTACTTGAAAACAGGAAAAAAATTATTCAATCGTACAAGAATGATGTAGACAGTAAGAACACGCCGAATGGTGAACGGGAAGAGCAAAAGTTGGTCCCGCCGGTGATACTCGTCCTAAACAAAGTAGACTTATGCACAAACAATAAGTGGGCAAATGCGCGGGCCAAGGAATTTATGAGCAACGGGAATTTTGACAACATATTTTTTATTTCCGCAAAATATAACAAAGGTGTTGAGGAATTACTGGATTATATAGCCAAGTTTAAGGCGAAAAATCAATTTTGGGTTTACCCCAAGGACTCCAATACAACGTTGACAAAAGTACAAGTTGTTGAACAGCTGATTAACACCTATTTGTATTGCTGGTTTAATAAGGACGTCCCTTACAAAGTCAAGCACAACATGCTGTCATGGTGTGTGAATTTGAACAACTCTCTCATAATTGAATATCAAATTGTTGTGAAAAGCCAAAAGGTTGCTAAAATGATTTGCGGCGTGCACAACAAGCTTATAATTAACATGCGAAGAAATGTGTCTTACAAGTTGACGCAGTTATGGGGACAGAATGTGTACGTGCATATTCATGTGAAGTCGGTTAGCACTTAACAGGGAGAGGCGCACGTGTCCAACTGCGGATGCGAATTTACCTGAACAATCAGGCATAACTCATTTGGGCGGCACACCAGATAAACAACAAAAAAAAAAGCAAAAATTGCACGTTTAGCGTAGGTTTTCCTACGTGTGCATTTAGCCCCAATATGTTAAGCCCCCAAGGGATTACTTTCCTATTTTTTTTTTTTTTTTTTGTTCTATGGGGAAAAGTACACACTTGCGACGTGTACGGGGGAAGTCGGTGGCTAGCTGTATGTACACACGTACATGCACAACAAAAAAAAAAAAAAAAAAAAAAAACATTCCAATTTAACACGCTTTAATGCGTCTTAATTCGTTTTCATCAAATTCAAATTGTTGAAGGGCTGGAGAAAGCCTACTTTACGTCTGGCCACGTAAACCTCGCGTGCGTGAAGTTGTCCTCCGGCAACTGGTGAACAAATTGGTACATCCGTATGCAGTAAACTGTTAAGTCTATTAACTCTTTGGAGTTTTTAAATTGGTCTTGCTCGTTGTAAATGTGGTTAAAAAGCAGATTGCAAATATTTCCCGCGTAGAACTCTTTTTCCATGCATTCATCCAAACCAATGCAAAAGCCCAGGGAATATTCCTGCATATTAATCAAATATGTATTGAAGGAAAACTCAGAAATTTTGTACTTGATAAGTAATGCTCTGTAATAGTCCCATATGATTTCCCACAGAAGAATCTTTAAGTACCGATTATTCATCGTATTTAACTTGGCGCAGTAAATCCATACGTGCATACATAAGAAGTACATAATTTGTCGAACGTCGTTTTTATTTATTTGAAATTTTACAAACAGTTTTTCATTGTTCATTCTTTCGTACAGTGGAGAAACAAACACGTGAATGTTTACTCTGTACTTCAAGACGATCTTGTTGTACACGTAATTTATAAGGGGAACATCCCGAACCTTTTCCATCAGACTGTTTATAATTTTCACATAATACTGGCCAAAGAGGCTGCTGCCACTTTTGATGTCATTCAAATTGGAGTTTAATTTTTTGTAGTATATAGAGGTATTCATATTGTCCTTATAATTTTTAACGCCTTCGTGCATGACATTGCCATCTACATTTATGTCGCTGCTTGCCATTATGCGCAAATGATTTTGTCTTAGTTGCGCTTCCTCCTCGGGTGTGAGTATGTACTCACAGTACGACTCGTTTGTGGTCTTCCATTTTAAGTTTTTGCTACTGAGCGTATTGTTAATTAGGCATTTGGACCTTTTGAATGTCTCAAAGGGTTTAAACTTTTGGCAGCGCCGGAGGAGGAACTGGTTCATTTTGCGCGCTTCGTTGGATTGGGGTTACATATATAATGTGCGCGCTGCACGCGTGTATCAGTTGCTTTCAGCACATACACATGTTTGCGTAAACATAAGGTTACATGAGCGCTGGTATTATGGAAAGGCGTAATTGCACAACCTTTTTAAAGTGAGATTCCCGTTGCGCACGCTCCTCTTCGATTATGCATGGGGCTTACCGCGCGCAGGTATTTTGTACAGTTACTTTTAAGTAACGAAAAATGCAATAGGGGGGATACACCTCGTCATGCGAATACACCAGCGGGGTTATACTTGCGTACAAGAACAAATATATGTTTTTTTAGGCACTTAAATATGCATATGCCAATTTTCGGCAGGGGCGAATAATGCACAGCTGCGTAAAATGAAATGGGAGTTATATGCTACACCATCTACTGCTTCGTAATCTTTCCATTTAAATGAAGCTTACAGGAGCGAATAGGGTATTTTTTTTTTTTTTTTTTTTTTAAATAGGCTGTATTTATTTAAAATAAAATTATTTGGATCCTGCGAAGACATTCCTTTCAAAATAAGGAGCTCCGTATATATATTATATGTGTGTAATTTTTTTTTTTTTTTTGGTAAACATACAAGGGGGGAAAATGGCAGTACCTAAATTTGAAAGTAGAGAGCGGCGCAAACTTGCAGTTAATTTGCACTTCCCTCTCTATAAGGTTTTTTTCCTTCGAACAGTTAAGACATGAATGTATTTTTTCGCCCCATTTGGCACAGCGGATGCGGAGCATGGCATACAACTTGCTTTCGAAGCGTAACTTTTTTAGCTTAACTTTTTGGCGTAATTTTGTAGCATAACTTTTTAAGAAACAACCCCGACGCGTATCTTTCAGCTGCTGCAATCACTTGACGGTGTTAACGCCGCGTGCACTCGCGACAGCCCCGGCGAGAAAGGCGCAGCCTTATTCGTTGCCGTATAATATGAGTCAGTGGTAGCGTATAGTATTGCCCCTCGGTGAGAGCATAAGCGGTAACCGCAATATACAGAGGCATGCGTAGAAAGGAAAATAAGGGGAACAAAATTGCATCGAAGTTGCATTATAATTTGCATTAAATATTAATGCGAATTTTTCGTAAAATTTGCACCAATTTTGTATGAATATTTAGTTGCGTATTTCGCCATTTGCGCGGGCGATTTTTCTCCCTAATGGTCGACAAAATTTTAGCAATCCTACACCCCAAGCATTACCGCACAGCGAAGAACAACATATGAGATCATAAATATCCCTTTTCACAAGGGAAAGTTTAAGTTATTTTTCGCCCCCCACCCCTTACACAACGGTGACTCTACTAAATTGAATATGCCTTAAACACCTGTCGAGTGCATGTGGGCGAACATTTGTCGACTTGTTGGCAACTGAAAAAAAACGGGCACGTTGAAAAATTTTTAATAATTTTCTACAATAATTTTTTGGCAGAATTATTTCCTTTTTTTTTAGCCGCAATTATTTACATTTCTTACGAATTCACTTTTTTTGCTAAAATTGCATGACACCCTGTTTTTATACGCAGCTTTTAGTTGCTAAAAATTTGCTGCACGTGAGAATTTGCAAAAAAATATTTATATATATTTTTACTTTTGCGTAAAACATCTATCCGTACATGCATGATCGTTACATGAGCGCGATCTGTGTCAACAACATCTGTTTGTGGAGCATACATTTGAAATATGCACAAAGTCGTTTCAGCGAAGGAACACAACGGAGTTAACAAATGTGAACGCGCTATTTTATATTATTATTTTTTTTTTTTCGTGTACCTTACCAACCGTGTACATATTTTGTTGGGCAGTACTTGATGCGTAACGTAGAGGAATAAACAGTTGTCATTCCTTTTCATTCTCGAAATGAACGATTAATCTTGCGGGTAAATCGCACTTGTAGATCAACCAGGAAATATGCAAAAATATTAACGATACATAAAATCACTCCTTGAGCCTTTTCTAATTGTTCACTTACTGCGTTGCAATTTTGGCGGTGTTACATAATTACAAGAACAATTTTTTTTTTTTTTATAAATTAGAAGCCCGCGGAGGCACACGGACGTGTATGCGTGAGAATACTGTGCGCTTGCGTTTGTATGCTTATGCATATGTAGGTGCGCGTACTTGCACATCCCCCCGAGTGTGTGTTTGTCTGCGTGCACCCCTTCACTTGCAGCGCTAAGCCTACTGCATTAGTAACTTACCCTGTTCTCCACATTTTTTTGCCACTTTTTGGCCCCTTTTTTACCATTTGATCGGCCGAGTCAGCTCCGCGGGTAAAACCGAAATAGGTGTAAATAGCACTGTTATGTTTGCCGCTAAAGTAATGTACCCCCTGATACACTGCGTGAAATGCAAACACGTATGTATACCTGCGTTTAGGTGACATCGTGTAGACGTGAATTCCCTTCCAACCACTACCCTCCACTCAGCACGGTGTAACGCGTTTGCGAAGGTGGTAAGAGGGAATTCCTCCACTTGATGGATCATATGATCTACCTTAACTTTGTCTTCGAGTCGTTACACCGCTTTTTCACTGTGACGTAGTGCCGTTCCCCTGCTTCACCATCGTAACCATGGATATCACTGGGCTGAAGAGCTACAAAGAGCTGGTGACGCTCAGCGAGGAGGAAAAGAAAGTGAACCTGAAGGAGTATCTGAAGGATAAAGAGAGGTCGGAGCTGCTGATCAAAAGGTTTAAAAATTTCTACATAGATTTGTCTCGTCAAAGGTATGGAGCAAAGACGCTGAGCAAATTAATTGAGTACGCGGAGGAAGTCAAGCTCAAGGAAAAAATCGAAAAGACATTTAAAGGAGAAAAAATGAACATAACAGAAAATAGAAGCGTCCTTCACACTGCCTTGCGAATTCCAATAGAAAAAATAAATACACACAAAATTGTAATGGAAGGAAAAAATATTCTCGAAAATGTACATGACGTTTTAAAAAAAATCGAAGCATACTCAGATAGCATCCGAAACGGAACTATAAGGACTTGCAAAAATACAAAGTTTAAAAATTTGGTATGTATAGGAATTGGGGGATCATACCTTGGCACGGAGTTTGTGTATGAGGCGATGAAGTATTACTATTACAACTCCATGGTGGCGAAGAACAAGAAGAAGAAAAAGGAAGCAAACGGGGAGTTGTGCAAAAATGACGCGGAAAGCAATTTCGATATGGATTATGATCAAGATGAAATAATTAACGTACGCTTTTTGGCCAACGTGGATCCAAACGATATTAATAGAGCTGTACATAACATTGATCAGACGGACACACTCATTATTATCATTTCTAAAACGTTTACCACAGCGGAGACGATGCTGAATGCGAGGTCCATCAAACATTGGTTAAGGTTAAAAATAAAGGATGATGAAGACTTGAGTAAGCATATGGTTGCAGTCAGTACAAACTTAAAACTGACGGACGAATTTGGCATAGTACGAGAAAACGTATTTGAATTTTGGGATTGGGTAGGAGGAAGATTTTCTGTGACCAGCGCAGTAGGTATTTTACCCCTCTCCATTGCATTTGGTTATCAAAATATGAGGCAATTCCTAAATGGCTGTCATGATATGGATGAACATTTTTTAAAAACAAAATTCGAAGAAAATGTCCCTGTCCTCCTAGCTCTAACCAGTTTTTACAACAACCATTTTTGGGATTGTAAAAATATAGCCATTTTGCCATACTTTCAAAATCTGCTAAAATTTTCTGCTCATATTCAGCAACTGTCTATGGAGAGCAATGGGAAAACGGTCGACCGAAGTAACAAGCATGTTAATTATAACACGTGCCAGGTGTTTTTTGGAGAGCCAGGGACCAATGGACAACACAGCTTCTACCAATTAATTCACCAAGGACAAATAATTCCAGTAGAATTAATTGGCTTCAAATATTCTCATTTCCCTCTTCATTTTCCAAGTGAAAAGGTTAGTAACCATGATGAACTTATGACTAACTTTTTTGCGCAGGCTGATGCCTTGGCGATGGGAAAAAGCTTACAAGAGGTAGCTCAGGAAAACGAAATGAACCAAAAAAAAATGGCACCAGAATTGCTAACACATAAAGTCTTCCAAGGAAATCGACCTTCCACTCTGCTACTGTTTGATGAATTAAATTTTTACACGTGCGGTTTGCTGCTCTCCTTATATGAATCCCGAATTGTCGCCGAGGGATATCTGCTCAATATCAACAGCTTCGACCAGTGGGGCGTCGAGCTCGGCAAGGTCCTGGCCAAGGAAGTGCGCAACTACTTTCACGAGGTGCGTTCCAAAAAGGAGCCCGCTGCCACCCCCCACGCCTTCAACGAGTCCACCAAGATATTGCTGAGTTACTACCTCAGTTAGATACGGCATCATCGCGGGGACATGTCTATGCCTCCTGTGCGTAACTCTGTAGGAATGTTTCATTACCCTTTGTTGCACGTAATTTTTTAGCGGTGTGCTCGAACTCACGCCTTTACGAGTGTGCGTTTGGCCGTTCCGTTCTAGATAGAATGCGCATTTGCCGATGCACACGTATATCCCTGCTCCCCTTTGATTCTGAACTCTTCTTTTTTTTTTTTTCCTCTCCTCTATGTATACCCGTATGTCTGTCTGTTCAAATTAATTTTTTCTTTTCTTTTTTTTTTTTTTTTTTTTTTTTCTAATGTTCATGTAGATTATGTTAGCCATGTATCTTGCTGATGTGTCAAACACACAAACAAAAAAAATGCGAAAGATTTTTTCTATGCTCATGCAAACCTACATGTGCACACATGCTCATATTAGTGTGTGAGTGAGTACGATTGTTGCCTACATTTCCGTTTGCGCAGACTGGCCCAAATCACCAAACGCGTTTTCAATTTGCAATAAAAAAAAATACAACGATAGGAAGCATTGCGCATGTAGGCATATTTATGCATACGCAATATTACCATTTTTTGGAGATACTCCTTTGTACTTAACAAATTTTTTTTTCTCTCCAAACGAGACGTAAAAATGGAACGAAGCGGTTTAACCAGAGTAAAAATGCGTCCTCAGTTCTACCAACAGGGGTCCACCTATTTTACCTTTCTTTAATCGGTCAGTGGTGTAACAGGGGTTGTAGCTCACTGGGCATAAGCTGAACGAGTCACATAATGGGTTATGCGTCAAAGAAATGGGAACTCTCGTTCATGGGACCAAGCCAGGAGGGGTATGAACAGGAAAATTACGAATTGGGAAAAAGTACACACGAAAGTTTGTTAAACTTACAACTGTGTTAAAAGTGGGAAACTCGGAAAACTAACCTTCGATACGTGTAAAAAATTGCAAGCGTGATAAGATTGAAAAGGAAAAAGAAAAAAAGGAAAACGATCGGCGAGTCACTAAAATTGTATGACTCTTTATAAGTTTCCCTGTATAGCTACTCACCACTGCGAGTGTGCACCAAAAAAAAAAAAAAAAAAAAAAAAACGGCCTTTAAAATGTAAGGGGCAATTTTAAAAGGCGAAACGCTTAATTCGACGGGATAGTAGGTTTAAGGGCGAAGCCAAATTAGGCATTAACAGAACATTTTGATAAGCGTAACCACCAGTTTGTATCCTTTTGTTAGTAGCGTTTGGCTAAGCCCCCCTGCTGGATACATTTACTCCTTTTTTCGTTGTTTTCGTTTTTTTTATCTTTCTTTTTTTGTTTTGTTTTTTTTTTTGTTTTTTGCCCACCCAAATGGTTTAAACCTGGGCGATCTGTTTGCGTTCGGGTAACGACCGCCGATGCGGCTGCTGCTCGAAGGAACGAATGTCCGAAAAAATCTCCGCCTTGGCTGACCTAGGGAGAGGTCTCGCATGTGAAGCTCTGTCCAGTGTGACGCGAAGTGTAAAGGCGCCACAAAACATCCAGTTGATGATGACAGTTTTCTTTTTTGTGAGAACAATTCCATGCCCTCCTGTCACCAGTTGACACACTCGTTTATGCAGGGGGTAAGAGAGGAGCCGTTCTGGAGGCACACAGATTTAGTTGTTAGATACTTCCTCCGGGGAGCACACAGAGTAGAAGAGGCATGCCAGCACCTGATGGAACAAGACGAGAGACAAAATGACAATGATACGCACGCTGATCGAGCGAATCGTGTTTGTGGCGATTCTGATCGGGTCTTCCTACTTCTTCCTGGAGTTCATGTCCATATATGATGCCTCCATTTGCTATTCAAGTCTGGTGGCTCTTCTCCTGATATACGTCGTGTCGTACTTGCTGGCCATTCTGCCGGAGATAACCAACTCGATAAAGTATACCCTATTTTATAAAACGAGGAAGAGGAAAATTTACTCGTACTCTTTGAAGAAGGAACATTCACTCAGAAGAAAAAGCAATGACAAAGATTTAAAGATCGACCATTTGGTGGACACTAGTTTGTTGTATATGAACCAGGACCATTTTGCAACGGTAAACTGTGGCCATGGGTACTCGCGGGGGGGGAGGCGACCGTCGGGCGGGGGGACGGACACCCTTTACAGCGGGGAGGGCCAGTACAGCGAAGAGTTCGCCTCCTCAGGGGGAAGTGCCCCCAGCGTGGTTGGGCAAGAGAAAAGCAAGTTGTATGGGCAAGCGAAACGCAGTGTGGATTATCAAGCGGACAGTAGTGTGGATGGGCAGGGGAATAGAAGACGGGGAAAAAGAAAAAGCAAGTACAGCAAAAACGAAATAAACGACTACGTGTTGAAGAAGACGGGCAAGAACAAAAAGTACATCATAGACAGCTGCGAGGAGTTTGAGAAGATCTGCCTGAACGACCAGAGGAGAACGCTTAAGATGAAAGACCGGATTATCAAGTATATCGAGCTGAACGACTCGGACGAGGAAGGGGACAACAACTGCGATCGTGAACGTGTGCGAGACAGCGTGCGAGACAGCGTGCGTGACACCGCGCATGGGGAGCCGCACCAGTTCGTGCCCAATGCAGGGGGGTCCCGCTTGAGTGAAGTGTGGCACAGCGCGCAGGACTACTTTAACAAACGGAATGTAAAGGAATCAAAACACGTGGGGTCGTTTTTATACGACACGAAATATCTAAACATAAAAAATGAAGAGTGCACGGAGGAAAGCATTCGTTTTCAGGATAACAAAAAGAAGTACATGTGCTTCATGCTGAATAACACGTTGTACAAAAGGAAAGACATGAAAAAGTGGAAGACCAGTTACTTCCAAGGACTGAGGTCAAGCACGAATAAGTACACGCTGCACAGCTTCTATGATCGAAATAAGCATGTACAAAAGGACACAGATTTTTCCAGGTGGCACAATTTACTCCTCAAATTTATAATTAACATAAAAGTAGTGTTTGTAAAATTTTGCAAAAACACTTCATTCATTATTTCTGATTTGTTAATAACTCTCATGTTGCATGTCGCTTGGCTTAACGTCTACAACCACCTACGAAGGAATAACGTGTCCACCGATACAGGCATGTTTAATTGGAACACACAATACATCCCTGCCTTCTTCACGAAGGTCGAAGCGTATATACAATACTTTATCCTTTACGACACATGTATAAAATTCTTCCTCTTTTTTTCTGCGAAGCATATTTTAAGCTTTTGGTTTTTGTTAAATTTAATGAATAGCCCATTTTTCTACCTCATAGTTTCGTACGTAACGAATTGTCCTTTTAAGAAGCATGGGTGGTTGTACCTGACGAGTCCATTTCGCTTTCTCAATTTTTTACGAATAGAAAATTTGATTGGCCAGAGTAACAACCACAACAAGATAAATTTCCCAGTGATCACATTATCTGTTCAAATATTAGTTGTCATATATACCTATTCTTGTATTCACCTTTTAATTGAGCAACCATGTAACGGAGAGTATTATGTATATGATTATATATTTTCCGGGATGCAAACTGTCTCCACAGCAGCCATGGGAAGAGGAACATGTTTCCCCTACACTCTGCAAGCCAAAATTACACATATATTTTACATTTTCATGATTTTCACTTATATACATTACAAGATAAGGTACCTGAAGGACCATATGGTGCAGGAAAAAAAAATATACGGAAAAATTCCAAACATAGGTGCCCGCTATTTTGTGATCATAGGACACATGAAGCCGATTGCACTGTATGTTATCATTAATGAATTACAATCCACGTACAATAATTTAGATGAATTTATTTTTTTAACAAGTCTTCCAGTTAAATTTTATGTAAATATTATTCGTCTGCTGAACAGAAAAGGGTATTGTCAAATCAGCCTTTGCTTATACGATTTGAACAAACCTTTTCCGCTCAAAATTAAAAAAATTATTTCGTTCAGCAGTGGGATCTTCATATGCAACAATGTTATGAATACACACCATAATATACATAACGACATGGAGACTCTAAAAAGATACAACGAAATTAATTCCCTTGGACCTTTTAATAAATGCATTTCCGTCTTCCTAAACAATATGTGTAATAATAGCATTTTGCTTAAGAGGAGTAATAGGAATATTATTTGCCTGAACGAATTGAAAATGAAGCTCTTTGCCAAAACCTTGGATGACTGCCCCGGAATGTTTCTCCTCACTATTCTTTTTTTTATAAACACACCACAAAAGTTGAAGTCTAAGCACACATACATTTTGAGCAAATATTTTGATAACCTCGAGGAGGACGTCAACCCGGAAACTCCCCCTTTTGGCTCGTCCACTGAAGGGGGCGCCAGCGATCGGGAGGAAAACCACATGGGGAAGAAGTCTACCAACCGTAGTGAATGCAAAGGGGGGGAGCGCTACAAGCGAGGCAAGACACACAAACCGCACACCTCCAACAAAGCATACACACGGAACCGCTTGCACTCCAGATGGCTCAACCTTTTTAGTGGAAAAAAGAGCCAGCGCTCCCCAGAGGAAGACCAACCCAATGGTAAGCAATCCCGCGAGAGCAATTTCTACAAAATTGATCTTCGCACAGGGGATGCAACGGAGAAGAGTCCACAGAGCACGAAGAGAAACAGCAAGCCATCCGGTTCAATCATGAAAAGGGTGAAGAGCATTACTCAAGGAGGGACAAAGAATAAAATGCCATTCCGAAGCTTCCTATCCCACGAATTCAATGAAAGCATTTGTTACAACTCATACAATAATTACTTGCACTATATAAAGGGAATAAAATATAACATATACAAAATAAAATTGCCAGAAAGCTTTATCAATTTCCATTTTGTCACCATCGTCCACTACATGTTCATGAATTATAACGCCTTCCTCATAGGCATCATAAATGAGTATAACGAGGTCATCCTGAACCCTGTTCATTTTGTTTACACCTCTATGGACGTGCAGTTTATTCTTCTCACCGATAAATACAATATTCTACAAAAAATACAAAACCAGAAGAAGGTGCAATTGGATTGGCTCAATTGTGTAGATTATGTCAAGGTTAAAAAGAGTGACCCCTCAAAAGGGGGGAAACACAAGAAAGGGTCGGTACAGGGTTCTGGTCAGCATTACTACAGTGAGATGAACAAGCTGAAAAACCAACCAGGGGTTTACTTCAATCCTGTCTTGAACATCCTTCGTGTCGACAATTATTTACAAGCTTTGCAGTTCTTCCGCATCAGACGGGAGGGACAAGTTAGTCAGGAGGTTAAAAAGACAGGCAATGACGAACCGGGTAGAGAAGTCAATCAGGCGGAGGACAACTTCATCATCCTGATATACTGGCCCCAGTCTATTAACACCTTCCTGAAGGTTCTCCATAAGCGCAAGAGACACAACATCATCATCCTGAGTGATCAAATTCCATCCTACATACACAACAATAAATTGGCCAAGTACAGCATCTGCTACATACAAAAGTCTCCGCTGTCTTTGTACAATTTAATCCTAGCAGGAATCCTTCGTTGCAAAAAATGCGTCATTTTTAAAAATTATTTAAAGTTGAACTCCCATCATAATATCATATCATATAATGAGGAGGCCAAAAATATAAACTACTTTGAGTACATGTGTGAACATAACGACAGTGATCTGCTCATCATTTTTAATAATATACAAAATATTTTCCGCACGAGGGATGTTAACGATGCCTTGGTGGAGTACTACATACGCGAAGAAGAAAAGAAACAGTCAAAATGGTATGATAATTATTTACTCAAAAAAAAAAAAGCGATAAGAGAAAGGAATATTTCAAATGGGGGGCATCCTGCTGCAGAGGAAAACAGTCAACCTGTGCATGCCCAAGTGATGAATAAAATGGACCAAGAATGTTCTAACAATCTCGTAAACGATAAATATAAACAAACGAGGAAAAATATTTACCTCCTTATAGAGCTAAACAACACACTTTCCGTTCAGTACTTAAACAATGAAGTGTATACAAATATCGACAATTTAAAAAAAAACAACATGATGAATATGAACAAGGCTCATAATTTGCTCTTCATTGAAAATTACAAAAAGCAAATACAATTTTTTAAATATGGAAATTTGCTTGTGGAAAATATTTATAAAAAAATTGAGCACATTTTTGTGGACAATTATTATTTTTATTTGTACTTTTTACAATTCACCTCCGCCAGTGTCTTTATAGATGAATTGATTTATCACCTCATTGGGTACACCTTCCCCATAAAGAACAACTCGCTCAGTATCGGTACCATTGAAGCCTTCATAAACGGCACGTACACGGACAGCTCCAAGAGGATAAAGTCCGACTTGCTCCTCAGGCGCATAAACCCCAAGTACCACTCCAGGAACTTCTTCTTCCTCTTCCAGGTGGGTTTCGTGGCTCTCCAGCGCAGCGGTCCAACTGTAGCGCGCTACAACGTGTGCTACTCTGATGTGGCGTCATCCCGATGTAGCGTCACTCCAACGCAATTCCGCTATCTCCCCACACACCCCTCTGCAGAAGTACCTCAAGAAGGGCTCCATCATCATCGGCATTTACCGCTGCAACGAGGAGAACAACATGAGCATCGTGATCCCTTGCCCCCAACGCAACTTCATCATGCACAAATCGGACAAGGTACCCAGAGAAGGCCAGCTGCAAAGCGGTCTCACCACGGAGAGACGCGTACACCAAATGTGCAATCGCTTTCACCCATTGTAAATGTTCCGCTACCTCACGCCTCTTCACCTCACCGCAGGTATACGTCATCGAAAGCGTGTACAGAGCCAAGGAAGAAAACCGCTAACTAGATCAGAAGTCCCGGAATATGCAAATATTTTCCATCTGATGACGGTAGTTCGCATTTGGGCATTCGTCCACGCCAGAGGAATTAATGGAGCAAATGTGGAAGCTTTCAATGTTCCTATTTTTAAGAGCCATTTTTGTAAAATTCGTATCATGCGCATTACAAAAGAGGATATTTTTAAAGCTGGCCTCATCTGCCCACACTTGTCGTTCTTGATTTCTCTTGCTGGAGGAAATTTTTTTTACCTTCACATGATAGTTATGTGCATTGTGCAAGTCTATCGTGTTGAGCGAGTTAATTTCGTTTTGTACTTTTTTGGTAACACCCCTTTCGTTTGTCCGTACATGGTTCGCGTTTGTACAGGTGTGATATGCATTACATATATTTTTTAAAATGCAATTCTTCGGGTCAGATTCGTCCATATGCCAAGTGTTTGTACATGAAATGTCTTCGCTCATGTTGCAACATATTTTGCGCTTCCTCTGGTCATCATACTGGTGGGGCGTCTGCAGTAGGTTGTGATTTACGGTGAAGAGGTTGTTTTTTTTTTTCTTCGTTTTGAGCGTCGTGTCTTTGTACAGCTGCGATTGGGTGTAGAAGCTGGTGGGTCCATCCATTTTGCTTGTGGGCAGGTTCGGCGTGCGGAGGGTTCGCTCGGCAGGCAGGGATCCTTGCCCGGTTGTCATAACAGGTTTGCTCGCCTGGCCCGCTTGGACTAATGGGCGCACCTGACTTTGCTGACTTGACTTCCTCTCACCCTTAACCCCCAAGGAGCCATTCTTGTAATCCACGAGGACCACACGATTTGCCCCACCTGCCTTTCCACCCATTTGGTGCTTTACATCATCGGAGCCGAGGAAAATTCCAGCACCGCTTCCACTGACCTTCAAACTGCTTACCCCTTGGCTATTCGCGCTATGAAGCTTCGCCGCAGTGTGCGCATGTGTGTTCCCTACGTGGTGGTTGTCCGTTTTGCCGCAATTGGAAGAAACTGCACACTGATTAGCAGCCCCCCTGATGTGTCCCCCGGGTCCTACATGGCTCTCCCTGCACGGGCCCAATTTGTCCTTCCGGTTGCACCTCCTATACTTGTTTATCGTGAGGTTATTTTTATTGACGCACATCTTGACCTTCCCGTTGGACAATTCTCCACTTACAGCTTTAAAGGTGAACTTGTTCTGCAGAAACGCCAAGTCGTAGTCCGACTCATTTGATGGAGCACCCCTGTGTGACTCACCCGAGTGGACATAGTAACCGTTAAGACAAGTCCCATCCTTTTTTCGGAGGCAAATGTAATGGTTATTCAACTTGTTCGTACTTATGTCAGTACTGGTTCCCGCCCCAACAGGGTAGTAGTAACACTGGGCATGTACCTGTTGTCCATTCTGCTGCTGTACCATATAAGGAACGAGTTTTCCATCAAGGCACCTCTGTACCATATATTGTACGTTTTTATTATTTCCTTTGAAAATTGCATTTGGGTTAATGAACAGGTTGTTTGGCACCTTATTCCTGTTGCTACTTGCAGAGTGTGGGAAATATAATTGGACGAATTTTCCACCTGCTTGTTCTTTATAAGGCGCTTTCTTCTGGTTGGCGTCCGCGTGTTGCACACAAAACACATGATTAACACCGCCTACGTTGCTAATTCCCCCATGTGTAATGATGTTGCCCTTATTACGGTGCCCTGCCGCAACATACACATGTTCTACCGTGCCTCTTCTACATGGGCGATAATATTTCATAACCTGTTTTGCACTCAAACATTTATCGTTCTTCTTCCATTTGCTTAACTTGTGCTTCACGTAGTTTAGGGAGGTCACCCGTTTCAGTTTCTGCTTACACGCATCTAATTTCATGTCGTTGCAATTGTTAACGGAATGCAGCTCCTTGGAGTTTTTAGTCATTTGTAATTGTGTGTATTCCGCCCCTTGTGGTTTTGTTTCATACCTCTCAATTGAATAATCATTTGGGTTTTTCCCTTCTGTCTTATCTGACTGAAGTGCAGTTTGCTTGTTATTTCCCTCGTGAAGAAGTAGCATTCTATGCTCACCATCTAATTTCATCTCACTGATGGGACTGCTTCCTACGGGTATTTTTTCTTTCTCCTTTGTGGTAGCATCCCACACAGTTGGACCCTTACGAATATTATTCATCCTCTCCATGAAGGCGTTCGCGATGCACTTTTTCGTCATGCTGTTTATCCGATTAAATAATTCGCTCTTGTTGCCCAATGTTTTTGTCACTAGACATATTTTTTCGCATTTTAATTTTTGCAGGAAATATTTTTGCGCCCGGTCCATGGAGCCATTGGTGGTAGAAACGTCCAGCTCCAATTGGTTACTCCCGTCCTGTGCGCGTGCCAGATGGTCATCCAGTTCGGAGGATCCATCTCCATTTGTGATAGGTAGGAGGCTTTTCTTACTCCCTTGAGGAGAACTCACAATTTGCTGATGAGCCTGCTGCTTGTTGTGAGTTATGTCCTCCACTTGTTGCAGATCCTGCAGGGGCTGCTGTTTCTCCTGTGTTTCATTCGAATGTATTAAGCGCAAACTATCATGGCTACCATGGATGTCCTGTGTGGAGGTTCCCACCTGCGCCTGGTCCCCCCTAAGCACTTCTCCGGTTGAATTGTCCATTCGATCACTCTCACTTATAACTGCATGCACTATGTGCCCATCCGTGTTTGTCCCTCCAATATCAACACCTTTATCCGTGACGATGGCACAGTTAGGAGCATAATGGACAGAACTCTCAACGGACGGCGCTGTCTCTTCCTTCGCTCGCAAACTTGTACCGCTTTCTGTCCAATACCCATCGGTGTGTATATTCGTTAGGGTTTTCTTCTGACCCTTCTTTGAAGATGTCTTTCGAGGCTTCTTTCGCAAGCTCTTCACGTTAGTGTCAAACTGAATTTCCCCTTCAAGGGCTTCATCTGGATTATTAAATTTGTGCACGATCGTTTTGATGTTGTCCGTAATGTCCTTTTTCATTTGCTTGCACTTTTTTTTAAACATTTTTTTCATTTTCTTCAGATAACCCTTTTTTAAATCTCTCATGATACGCTTCTGCAGATGTGAGTACAGCTGTTGATCCTCTACCGACATCTGCACGTTCAGTTGGAAGTCTGCTCCTATGTCTGACTCGTTTTTCATGCTCTGCATTTTCCTTGTGATCTGCTTATGTTTGGTGGTTTTTTCTTGAGCCTCTTCCTCCGCTCCCTTTTCTTTTTCCTTCTTCATTTCTTCCCCCTCTCTGTCCATGTCCGCGTATTCACTATTCACGCTGTCGAAGGCATGGACGCACTTGTTAAGTGATTCCATTCGGAACCCATGCAGGAGTTCTTTGTTCTTGTATGTGCTGAAGGAGAAGGCATTTTTTCTCAGCAGCACTTTGTCCCCGCACCCATCGGGTAATTCCTCCTCTTCTACCATGTCGTCCGCTACGTCGTCATTGGATACTGTCTCGTCGGCCTCCCCATCATCCACCAACTTGTTAGCGTTTTCGTCTAGTACTTCGCTTTCCGTGTACACCGGTTCCTTCTGTACGACCTCCTCCAATTCTCCAATTTGCGTGTGACCAGGTTGGTCTTTATCCTCTTCTCCCTCTTCATCATTTTCCGTTTCACTCGGTTCGTCCTCTTCGACCAGTTCCTCTTCACTTGATTCTCCATCTTCCTCATTTTCTGCGTCCCCCCCCTGCCTATCCGACATGTCACCCACCTGCTCCTTAAGGCTGTCCTCCTCGTCTCCTATTGTTCCCTCGTCTTTTTCCCCCGCATCCCAGAACGCATTGAACTTTTTAATCTGGGAATCCACTGCGAGAATGTCATTATCGAAAACCGTCTTGAATATCTCTTCAATGCTTTTTCTGATTTCCATTTCCATATTGTTTTGAATTTCCTCCTCGGAGTTCACAACCTTTCGCGTATCGAGTGGTTTTACTTGAGTAGTTTCTTTGGGTTCCATTTCGACCGTTTCTTTTGGTTCTACATCTACTTGTTCTTCCACTTTTACTTCCTCATCCACTTCTATTTCATCTGCTTCATGTTCTTCTTCCTCCTCTTCGTCGTATTCCTCGTCTTCGTCATCTTCTTCTTCGTCCTCATCATCGTCATCATCTCCCTCTTCACCCTCATCATCATCATCGTTATCATCGTCTTCCTCATCTTCGTCCACTTCGACTTCTTCTTCCTCCTCCTCGTAAAGTGAGCTACTTTCCCCATTTTGCAACTGCTGATGTACATGTGGATGACCTGTCACGTGCACATTTTCCTCTGTCGCCAAATTTATCGTTTCAACAAAACTTTCCCCGCTAGTTGCATTTTCAGATTGAGATTCCTTTTTCTCTTCTTCAACTTGTCCGCGCTCTTCTGCGCTGACTGAAGCGTCACTTGGTCCATCCTGCCCAGTGTCATTGTGGCTGTTTGTCTGCGATCGATTTTGGCATATGCTTGGGGTATCATTGGAGCCACTGCTACTTTGTGCCTGGCTATCTTCTTCGTTACTGCCTCCGTTACTGTCCTCGTTTCCGTCTTCGTTGCTACATTCGATGCTGTCTGCGTGGCTACATTCCGCGTGGTCCCCTTTCCCCCCTGCGTGAATTTCTTTCATAAATGAGGATTCGATGAACTCTACGCTGACGTCGTAGCTTCCCCTACTGCTGCTGCTCGGATACATATTTCTGCTCCCGTTGCTTCCGTTGGCGTCTTGCTCCTTGCACATGTCACTGCAACTTTCGCTGCGTGCGTTTCTGCTCGAAATGGCATCTTCCTCACTGGTAGCACTGCAGTGTCCATAGGTGTGCTCCATTTTGCCCACTGCTACGTCATCACTGGTACCACTCCATCTTTCGCTACTCCCCTTCACCTTAGCAATATCTTCCTCCCCGCTGAAGTTACTCCTCATTTCTTCACTTTCTATCCTATTCGTGCTACTTTCCTCCTCATTGGACCCGCAGGAACTTTCATTATTTTCATTTATTACTGCACTGCCTGCGTTCCCAGCGCATTCTCTCCCACCGAAATGAAAACTGTCCCTTTCAATACTTTCATCGGAGACGACTCGAACTATTTCGCTACTCACATAGTGGATACTATCAGCTGAGTTGACTTCGCCCGATGAGTTCATTTCACCTGCTGAGTTGACTTCGCCTAAGGCGTTCACTTCACCTGAGGAGTGTTCCTCCCTGTCTGCACTGGAGTCCATTTTGAAGCTCTCCTCTTGAGAATCACTGCCGTATGCGCTGCTGCTGTTTTTGCATTTTACCAAATCAATCACATCATTCATCTCCTCCGCCTGAACATTGTGCATGTGTTCTTCCCCCTTCGATAGGACCATTTCTCCCTTTAAGGTTATTATATCCTCCGACAGCATATAATCTTTTCCTTGCTTTTGTGCATAATCGATGCATTCGTCTTTGCATTTGGTACAAATGGAAAATCCTTCCTCTCCATTCTTATAGCAGTCGTACGTGGGCATATTTTTTATATCATTTTTAATTTCATCACTGATGTGGTTTTGTTTCATTACTTTATCGTCCTGATTTGCTTCCTGTTCCATTTGGTGATGTCCTGTTTTGTTTTCCACACAATTCTTTATGCACACTTGGGAGAAGCTCTCCCCGTCTACATATGCTGTGTCTTTCTTGCCATATGTCAATTGCTCCTCTTCCATCTTTGGAGTGGCCCCTTCGCTGTCAGGTAGGTGCATAGACGAGCCTTGTCCGTCCTGGCGGGGGCTCTTGGGGCAGCTGCGAACAGACACAAATCCTTCCGCCTTGTTGGTGTCGCTATGGGAAGGGATCTTTATAAAGGAGTTAGAAGTGTTTCCCTCTGCCTTCACATCTCCGTCTGCATCCTCCTTTGCGTGGTTCTCCTCTACGTTTCGACCCTTTAGCGCATCCTTGGAAGTGTCCCTCCAAAACTGACTCACATAAGATCGCCTCCAACCCTGACTAGACGCATACTTGATTAGACTTTTCAATTTTCTCGTCCTGTAAAAAATTTGCAGCTTCTTCTTTAGCATACAATAGTATAAGTATCTGAAGAAATGGCACTTGTTTATTTTTGTTTTGTTCGTACCAAGTGCATTTTTTTGTTTCTTGTGTAAATAATAAAATGTCGCACAGGGGTTGTACCTTTTCTTAATTTTGCTTCTCACAAGGATTTTCTTTTTATTTAATTCTTTTTTAAAAAATAATATTTTTTCGTTCTTTGTAATGTATATATATTTTTTTAGGATAGCTGATATTCCTACGTATTGTATTTTTGATTTTCCTTTTTTTATTTTGTAGCTGTTTATTAGGTTTTCCATTTTTTCCTGGGATGTCCATTTTGCTCTTCTCTTCTTCTCTTCTTTCGTGGGCCCCTGCTTCTCTTGGCCTTGTACTCCTTGTGTAGGAAGTGTTTTGTGTCCTTCGTCCTGGGCCTCCTTCGCACTGGCGCTTTCCCCGCTGCTATCGCTGTTCCCATCGCTGCTGCCCTCATTACTGTCGTTGCTCGGCGAACTATCTGTGTCGTATATATGCATGTATTTGCGCGCACACTCCCCCTTGGGGTACCTGTCATGAGAGCTCGGTTCGAAGGTCTTCTGCTGTTGGAGCGAGTCATCTTGCTCGTTCTCCCTCAACGTGTTATAATCACTCTCATCAGTGTAATCGTAAATGGAATAAAAGGACTTCCTAGAGGACACGCCTTTTGATTCTTCATTTGTTTTCCCTAGTGAGTGCCCATTCACATCCCCCAAATGGTTACTACTCCCATCTGGGCTTTGCATTACATGGTCGCTGTCTGCATCTAACTGATGACTGCTACCTTTATTTCCATCCGCACTTTTAATTTCAGAAAAAATAGAATCATGAGAATTCTTTTTCGAATTATTATTACTTTTAAAAAACCAAAAGTAGTTTTTCATGAAATTTATTTTGCCTCCGCTATTACTTGGCGTATTATTTAAATAGTCCCCCAAACTTGAAATGCTGTCCTGGGAACTTTTGCCACTGAAACTGTTTTCGCTCCGATCTTTGTAGTAGTAAATGCTTTTTCTCTTATTGTTAATTTCCATTTGGTCTTTTTTAAAAAATTAGAGCTTTTACATGTGGCAGTTCGTTTTTTCCGCGTAGCTGCGGTGTAGGCACAGGGGGATAGATCAAGCGGACAATTTGTATTTTGTCCTTGCCCCGTCCTCGTTCAAACTCTCCGTAACGCGCAGCTGCGCCTGCCGCCGCTTACAAGGAGTGAAGAAAACGCGCATACATGTATGGACACCTACGTATGCGCGCGTGTGCTCACTTTCAAATGTACGATTTAGCAAGGTTAACATAAAATTACACAAATGGGTAGAAAAAAAAAAAAAATAAAAATAAAAATTTGTATTTTTTCTTTTCTTTTCTTTTTTTAACTATTTGTGTGATTAAAAAAAGTTCCACCCGGTGTGCATACAGAACAGTTCTGTTATATAGTGTTTTATTTTTTCTGCAACAGAATTGTGCGCACTTTGACAAAAATAATATGCACTTGGAAAGTTCAACTTGAAAATACACGCATTTATTTTTTCTAATGGTCTTTTTGAACAGAAAAGACTGGGACAGCGTTTTCGCTTCGCGCTGGTATTTTATTCGAATTGGACTGCGAGGTGCGGTGCGTCGCGCGCTTGGCGCTGCGTGGGGCCGTGTTACCAGGTGTTAACGGCGCATACGGGACGCTACGTTATTCTGCATTATGATACGTATACGTACACTTTTTTTTTTTTTTTTTTTTTTCTTTTGTTTTCATCCTTTTTTGCCGTATCCATGTGCAATTCCGGTTTCATTTTTGGAACATACGCGAAAGGACACTGTTGTTACAACCCTGTTTTCACGCCTGTGACGGAATTCCTTTCTTGAACGCACAAAAGTGAACACATTTTTTTGGACAATTTTTACCATGCACTAGGTGCAGGCATGTAGAAAGAGAAAAGGAATACGCTTTTGAGGAAGGCGCTACACGGGGGTAGGGTGTATTCCACTTTGGCAGGATGGCCATATGTGGGAAATACAAAACCGGAGAAGTATTATATAACCTTTAATGCCTTTACTGCGTTAGCACCGACGCGCTATGACCGACTACACGAGGTGCCATTTTCCAGGACAGTCATAACAAAATAAGTCTGTGGTTGTACGTCCAAGTTCCCCACCCCTAAAAGGCAAACACAGGACTTGCTGCCCATGGTGCTAATCGCTGGGCTGTTTTTTTTTTTTTTTTTTTTTTTTTTTATTAAAGAGGTTGCTACGGATGCCAAACTGGGTTAATTCGAAAACGCTACATCGTTTTGCGTTAAACATAAAAGTGAACAATGGGGACGTTATTTTATTCTAAACCCATTTGTTTTTTTCTTATCCTTTCACACTATGCACTGAGTACATGGTGGGCATTTCTCCATTTCGGCCCGTGCTTTTTTTCCGCGACATCGTTCCGCAGTGCATAACAATTTCCACGCGTGATATTATATATATATACTTGCGCACTATATTATCTATATGCCATAATATGTATGGCATGTATATTTATATATATATTAAATTAACATGCACTCCATTTTGTGCATTTCTCCCCTTCCCCTTTTTTTGTTTTTGTTGTTTTTTTTTTTTTTTTCCAAAAACATTTGTTCCATTTTAACACTTATATATAAGTGCAAAGAGCGCAGGGCGCGTCACGTCGTCGTGCCAGCAATGTGGGTAAACACAAAAAACATATTTATATATTTTTAATTTTTAAAGTTAAAATTTACTATTTTCTACATTTACACGTTGTGGAGTTCTCTTCACGTTAGAGCTTTTTTTTTGTTTGTTTTTGAATCTTTGTTTTTATTCCGCTGTAGAAAAATTACAACGTTTTTTTGGATTTACTTTTTTTTTTTTTTAATGTATCCATATGGATATACAAATATATAAATATATAAAATGTCATGCGCTCTGCATTTTTTATCTTTTTTTTTTTTTTTTTTTTTTTTCTTTTTCAATCTCATTCGCTTAGCTTTTTAACATTTAGCTGTTCATTTTTTTTTTTTTCTCTTTAGTTTTTTTTTAATTTCTTTTTCTTCATTTTTTCTTTAATTCATTTATTTACTCTTTTTCATCATTTTCTTTTTCATTTTTCGCGTTCTTCACCCTACACTGGCGTTTACGCATTTGTACATATTTTTTTTATATATGCGTTCATGCAAATGAGTAAGCAAGCGCGCAATTAAAAAAACATATTTGTGCTTCACCTTTTGTGTACAAATACATATAGATTGCGTGTTGTGTTTATTTAGCACTCTATGCACGTTCGTTTTTTGGTAACATGTGTCACTGTGCCACAGATAGGGCTCCTTGACGTTATACGACTCTTTGCTCTATCGTGTACATATATATTTTATTCATTCACATGCGCGTACTTTTTTTCGTACAGCCATCTCGTTTGAATAAAAATAAGATTGAAGAACAAAAGCGTGCGTCCCATTTAGGGAAAGTTATATATGTAACCTTCTTCAATGATTTAGCCAGACTCTTCTTGTTCTTTTTTTTTTTTTTTTTT